ATCCATTGACAGGTTACCAAGCATTTTGCATATGTCTGGCTTCCATAGATTCAAAGCTTTGTTGCTCAGTATAACCCTATTTGGCTGCTTCTCAACTCCTTTGCAGTTCAACCTCTGAACAAGTTTAGGTGAAGAAGATGTCTCTGTAAATTCTCTCTGACTTCAGTTTTGAATTTTGATGATTTTAGTGAATCAAGGCCTTAGCCTATTTTGGAGTAATTAATATAATTGTAACAGTGCATTGATGCAACCTAAATGTAGCTTAATTGGGTAAGGGATATATCCCTGATCACTAAGTTCGAATCGCCCTCCCAATATGTGTACTAAAAAATGCAAAGCTAATGTTAATGCAAAGCTAACGTCGGTGAAAAAATTGATACTGGTAAACGTTTGAAATTGACTAAGTCAACTATTAATTGATCCAACTAAAAATGTTGATCAAATGCATACCAATAAGTCCTACAACTTCCAACAACCCTCACTCTTCCAAGAATGTGTGATTGAGATGGCAAGTTATTAAATGCATATTAAAGGGATGTCTAAAGTCGAAAAGATGGGCAATATGACTCAAAAATACACAATATAATTGCTATAACATATAGTTGTCACTTGGAGAGGAAACTTTTTATAATTAAAGTTAAAACAAATACACTATTAATTTAGAATTAATTACATGATCGAATATTAGGTAAGAGAGTATGGTTAGGTATTACTAAATATTTTGAATGATTTTAGGATAGTATCAAAGTAGAGGAAAATAAACTTAAAAAAAAAGTAGAGGAAAATAAGCTTCAAATTGGCATCGCTATTTCTTCTAAATTGTTCGCTCCCCTCCAAGAATTATACTTAATGTCTTAACATATGGAAAAAAAATGTTTTGGGGTCATGCTTGGGATGATTTCGAGTGTATTTGGGAGTACTATGGTAAAATTAGTGATTTTGAAAAAAGAGATTTAAATTTAATGGATTTTTCAAAATTACTATCCAAGTGATCCTTCAAATCAATTTAAATAATTTACTAAACATAAYTCATGGAAAGCGAAGTAATTTCGACAATGAGAAAAGTGATTTTAGCATGCCCTTCATATTCATAGACTTAGAAGATAGTCGTTGAAATTATAAGTTCGAAAGTGTAATCTAGAACAATTACAATATAGTTCAAAATTCAAATACTACTTTCTTTTATAATTTTGTATTTTATTTATAAAATCAAAATTAATTCATTTGTGTGACAATTTCTCTTGTCATGTTTCTTATAATTATCTAAAAACTCATATCTTATTTTTACTGCTAAAATTCTAATCCCAATGCACCCGAGCTTTACACGGTTGCATGAAGATGAATTCTACTGGAAAAGAATTAAAAAAAAAATCAATGTTTCTTTTTTCCTCTCTCGTTCTTTTGAATCAAAGAGAAGCTTTACAAAAATGATAATTAATGTCTCTATAATTTAAATTAATTACCTCCCTCCGGCTAAGTTATTTTCTCCGGCTCCCGCCGGAAGTCTTTTCCTTGACCATATCTAATTAAGCATCCAGTTCGCAGTGAAAAATCGTGGAAGGAAAAAGCGAGTTTAGGTACCCGAAAATGCYGTCGTCGCTTTCGGCAAAGTCGCCGGAATCTTGAGTAGAATCGAAGTAAGTTTGAACGTCGTCTGGAAAGCAGCGGCGCGGCCGGTCCGATTCCGGGGGCGTCTCTGGAGCGTCGGCGGCGGACGTTCTCTCTAACACGTCTTGTAATTTTGACGACTGGAGGAGGAGTCCCAGCGCCGCCGACGAGGAAGAGTCACCGCCACCGGGTCCGGGGAGCGGCGCGGTGGCGGGTTGGCCGGAGCTGGAACATTGCGACGGGAAAGTAAATCCGAGGASGGAATTGGGGTCAAATTCTAGAGCAGGTAATTCGCCGGCGTTAGGGTTTGGAGGACGGTTGTTGGAGATAATACTCTGTTGTTGCCTAGGACGGAGGGATTTGATGTAACGGCTGAGGTCGAAATTTGTAACGGCGTTAAGGCCACGGTACTCGATGGCCGCCATGTCGTAAGCTGTGGCAGCTTCTTCCTGGGTAGCTGCGGAATTAATAAGGGATTATTTGGGGGCAAAAATGTTAGAGAAAGTTTTTTAAAATTATAKGGCTAAAATAGATATTTTTAAAAATACTAAAATTAAAATGAACACAAAGAAARGATATAGGACGTTTTGAAAGTATTGAGACCAAAATGATTCAATTGATCAAAATAATATTTAAATTTAAAATCTCACTTTTTTTTTGTCTAGTTTTGAAAATCATATTTGTTTGCTCTAACATGGTTTTTCTTTTCTTAAAAACTCATTTCAACTTTTAGATAAATTTAAAAAAGAAAAAAGAAAAATTCAAAACTATTTCTTTAGTTTTCAAAATTCACTTATATTTTTAAAATGTTTCAAAAAAATCCATAGGAAAAAAATGTATAATGGTGCAAGTAATATTTTCCAACTTAATTTTAAAAAATAGAAGAACCAAACCACCTTAATAATATGTATGCAAAATTTGGTGGGACGAAGACATTGGAAATTTATGAAATCATGTGTCAAAATGAATATAATCTTTAATAGCTGGCCATGCTGCAGTTGAGGTTTGGTGATCTACAATCCAACCACTAGATTTAGTTGCGTGTATATTTTAAATATTTTAGATTTTTTTTTTCCTTTTTTTTTTGAAGAAAAAAGTTCATATCTTTGTTATTTAGAGAAACATATGGATAATCTTAGGATTCTTTTTAAGAATATTTCACTAAAACACAATTTGATTATAAATTTATTTTGATATTTATATTTATTTATTTTTTAATTAAGCTTAGGAAGTCTACTTATTACCTATATGTTGTTTTCTTCCTTTTAACTTTTCACTTTTTAAAAATACTTTTGGACAACAATAAAATTAAAAACTAGTTTTAAGTGTAGAATAAACAACCATGATTTAAAAAAAAAAATTAAAGACAAAATCATACACAAACGRTCTAGAAAAAAACGAAAATACAGTAGTTTCCAAAGGAGTTCTCCAACAGTAAAACCGTCTTATTTTATTTAAAAGAACTAAATTGCTACTAAACAAAACTTTAATTCATGTTGTACTAAACAGAAAAAACAAAAAAACAAAACTTTAATTAAGTATTTAATTTATTTATTTGAAGTAACGATAATGTGGTTTAATAATTCAATTTTTTTTAGTGCGACATATAGGCGTGGGGATCAAACTCACAACTTGTGGAAGATATATGTCAATTACYGCAGAACTATACTCGTTTTGATTAATAATTTAGATTATAGTTTTATATATACAGAGATTACTCAATATTTATTGAAAGGTATAGACCACATTATTAAATACATAATAAAATATTACTGATTTATTAATTAATATATGGGCTTTGACTGAAAAATCTTGCATAAAAACAAAGGCAGGTGATAATATAAATTATTTTTTCGGTGAAAAGTGATGCTATGATAGTATTTAACAAGTCTATGATACTTTTTTCAGAAAAAAAAAGTCTATGATAATTTACTCAAAAAAAAAAAGAAAGAAAAAAAGGTCTTATGATAATATAATGAAGGGGGCTTTTTGCTACGTTTACAATTAAAAGATTCAACCGTTTTTTCCCCTCTTCTATTTTAATTTACTCAAAAAAAAAAGAAAAAAAAAAAGAAAAGCCATATGATAATATAATGAAGGGGGCTTTTTGTTACGTTTACAATTCAAAGATTCAACCGTTTTTTCCCCTCTCTATGCCCCTTCTATTTTAAGTCTAAAACCAAAAAAATTTAATTACACCATGAACTATGGACCACGTAAAAAATACTATCAAATGACATATGTATTAATCTATTTCATTATTATTTTCTTTTATTTTTCTGATAGCATGCAAACGTAATTAATGATATTAATATTAGAGATTAAATAGAAGCATAATATAAAATTCTAACTTAAAACAAACTATGGAATACGTAATAGTTAAAGCATCTTGTTTGAGCTATAGAAGCTAAAATTACCATATGTTCCAAGGTAAAGGTATTTGTTGCCAARCACTCTGCCAATTCGAGCTTCCCATCTTCCATTATGATGGTGTCTGCAGCAATATATGAAATCAAACTTTTAATTTCAACTAATTTAGATCTCCAAGCACACATACCTTAGGTCTAAAAAACTCTTTCAATTTCAAAATAATATTGATTCATTAATGCAAATAGGTTCCAACTCCAAAAGATTGTGATGGTTTCTTTTGTCTTCACATGCAGACAATTTTACATGTCAAGATTGTCTTCTATTTTTTGAATCAGAAATTCAATTGCATTGAAACTACTAAGATTTCAACCAGCTGTTCAAACTTTATGCAGAAATAATAACACCATTAAACATTCTGATAATCTTTATAATTCAAGAATTCAATTATAGGAAAAGAAAATTATGATAAGAACTCCATTAAGCTTTGACCAAAGGAAGTGTTAGATGTCAGTAGCCACGTGCCTGCATTTATATAAACGTAGCAAAAAGGAAAAACAAGAAAAAGAAAAAGAAAAAGACCTGTATTTACAGAAATTTTGCTTTATTCACAATCCGGTTTTGAGAGATCCAAAGGGGGTTTTTCGAACATAATTAGTTGTATGTATAAATCATACGTATAGTTTTTTCCCTCTTTCTGGTTAGTGGTTGAACGGTGATATCATTAATTGTCTTTACTGTAATTGGAAAGAGATTTTCCCAAGTCGATCGCAAAGAAAAATTGGAAAAAGGCAACTAAGAAAGTTCCACACGCAACACATCATATTCTTCGTATATATGAAGGTGGGTAAACAAGTAGGAAGTTTTAGGCCAAGGATTGCTTATTGTAAGCTATATTTTTACTAATCACAAGGGCTAAGCTTAAATCATATAAAATGTTTATACTATAAGCTATTTTTTACAAATCATAGGACCAATTAGAGGTTAAAATATAGACTGCATAAATTTAGGCAGGACAAATCAAGACTTGTTAAAATCGAACGCAAAACAGCATTCTATGTTCATATATATATAAAGATCTTCACTGAATATCTTTTTTTAAAATTTGTCTCCACATTTGAGAACAAGAATCTCCTACTTTCTACTGTATACTTATTAAATGAAATGCTAGTAGAATTCACTGAAGTGAAAACAAGTGAACAGATATAACTCCTAAAAAAGGGAAACAGAGCCATTTCTAGTTAAAATTGGTCAAGTGATGGAGCATATGGTACCTTGCTACACCTCTATACTTTGAAACCCCGCGAGAAAAACCGCTACTCTTCCTGTGGATTGAACTCATAAAAATGGATACAGATTATATTTTAGAGTTTAAGTTAACATAATCTTTCTTGAAATTCCCCTTATCTGCACGAGTTTTACTAAAGAATGATCATTACCTTCTCAAAAATCCAATATACTCTTCTCTTGATTGACCTTCCATCTCTTTGAGTTCGTCTTGGTACGTCAATAACTGCAAACGATCAAACCGCAAGAATTGAACAATCTTCAACCAATTTCTTAATTTCCGTAGCCGAAAGGAAAACAAGTGAATACGGAACAACAATCAATTGGAAAATTACTGGAAAGTTAAGAACAGTTTCAGTTCCCCAGTACTTGAGTGCCGCCAGGTCGTAAGCATGAGCCGCTGCTGCTTCATCATCATACGCTCCTGTGGATCAGAAGAAAGCAATAGCACATACTCAGACTAGAGTGAGCACTCTGTTTCAAGATTAAATTGCACGCTGAAGTTCCAATTGCAGGACATACCTAAATACACTGCACATTTCAATTCAGATTCCGTCAATAAACATCCACCGCAACACAGAGGCCCAAAACAAATCAGAAGATTAAAGAACAAGAAAGTCAGGATCGCATCGAACAATAATTACTCGCTAACAGAAAAGAAGAAAAAGAAAAAGAAAAGTACAGATTACAGAACCAAACCTTGTCTTCCTTTCTTGTTCTGTCCTTCATTCCAGCAATTCTTATCCCACAAATGYGCCTCATACCGTCCCGTCCATCTATGCCTAAAGTTAATTAACCGAATCGATTCAATCCACTAAGAGCAAACAAAACAGAGAGAAAATAAATTGAATCACCGACGAAGGAAGAAAAATCGATAATGGCTAACCTGGTGACTCCGCGGTAGACAGAGCTACGCTGAGCCGGAGAATCTCGCGGAACAGTCTTACGCTTGCGCTTCTGTAGCTTCCTCTCATGGCGAGGAGTAGTTGAGTGAGTATTATCAGTGGTGGAAATGGAATTCTTGTGCGGCGGATGGGAGATCTTCCCCATTAAAACGAGCAGAGAAGGAGATGGAGCAGGAAGAAGAAGAGAGAGAAAGAGAGAGGAGAGAGAGGAGAAAGGACTGAGTCGTCCAATGGAAAATGGCAATTTTAAAGGGCAGCGAAAGAAAGAGCAAGAGGAGGTCCGTTTTTAAATGTTCTCGCCGTCCTTCTAATTAACCGCTTTCATTTTCTTTCCTAACTTTTTTTTTTCCTCCTTCTTTCTTTTAAATAAAATATATTATTATACATTTTTCAAAATTTTTAAAGAGGCTAATTTTAATAAACTTCTTAAAAGATGTTGCAGATTTTTTTTTCTTTTAAAATATAAATTACCTCAACCATTTTTTTTATATCAAATTACCTTAACCATTTAAACTATATAGTATTTAAAAATATTATAATTAAATACTATTTCAGTGCAACTGAAGGTATTTTTAATTTTATTTAATTATTATTTTTTAGTACAACAAATAGAGATTGAGATTTAAATTCATGACCTCTAGATTAGAGACATGTGTTAATCACTGTTCAATTAAGTTCAGGTTAGTCACACTAACGCCTCTTTTAATTCAAGTGATTGAAATGAGGATATAAATTTTTGCTTCATATGTTTACTAAAATATAATAATATTAATTAAATAGTCGTATCCATCTCAAATTTATGAGTCACTCTTATTTAAATAAAATTTATTTTTTCTTTCAAATTCAACTGACTAAAATAAAATTATTTTAAAGTTTATGAAAGTTTAAGGAATAACATTTGTAACAGCCCCTTTCTCTTTCTTTTAATAGTATACAATCTTAAAAAGAGTTTCTTGATGCAAAAAATATTAATTATAAGAGTTTGAGTGATGGTGAAAAGTTGTAATAGCGTTTTCAACTTTCATGTAACAAAATTTAATTACTTATATTAAAACACTTTACATTAGCTAATTAGATTCATATGGAAAATTACTCTATTACCCTTGAATCCGTCTTCCTTTCCTTTTAAAAGTACAAATTTATAGCCATAGAATGTCAAGCTATTCCTATGGAGAATAAACAGAGATATATATATAGAGTATAACTTTTCTTGATATTAATCTCAAATGTTGTTTTAAGAAAAAAACAAATATAATTGAAATTTTGATTTTAGTATCACAATTAATTCATATCTATGCTATGTATTAGAACTATAAATGTTGTAATTAATTGTAAGATAAGGTCACGAATTCTAAACTACTATTTAACTCAAGTAATTTATCATCCGTTAATGCATATTAATTAATTCAAAGAATAAATGTACTAATGTTCTAAATGCATGGTTCTATAAGTATTCATCAAAATTTTCATTTGGCGATTCATAATCCAAACTTTATTTAAATTTGTCTAGTTAATCTACTTAGATCATTTTGGCTTTGTGTGAGTTTGTGATCAGGGAGAAAAATATCAGAAACATAGAAATGTTTGTAATTAAAATACTTTGAAGAATATATGATAATTTTATTAATATTGTTAAACTGTGAATTCAACAAATTATTTCATTAAAATATTATTAAAAAAACGTTAAAATTTCAATACTATTCTCGTGTGAACATCAATTTTTTAAAGCACGACGGTACAAGTGAGATATTGAACTTTTGACCTAAAAAAAATATAATAGATACTTTTATCCACTCAGTTATACTCAAATTGATATTTAAATAAATGCATAATATTATATGTGAGATAAATACGTAGGGAGAAGAAAATTTTGAAATCTTAACTTCATATAAATGAGAGAGCGAATTCTGTCCTTCATTTGCCCCTAGAAATAGACCATGAGAATACGTAAGCTAATATGAAAAGAAAAACCAGTATGGTTATTTAATGAAGATATTTGGAATAATTGAAATGAGGGATCAAAAGTTAGGAGGTGGGAAAAAGAAGTCAATAAATTAAGGAAGGAAAAAAAAAAAAAAAAAAGAGTGAGGCAAATCTAAAGTGTGGGCTTATAAATTGCTCATACTTTTTGGTAAGGCACATTAATTAATGTGGTTCAAAGAGAGAAGGCCAATTTTAACTAATTAATTAAAACCCATAATATTTATATTTCTAATAAAAAAAAAACAACATAATATTTCAAATGCTTTGTCATACCAAGCATGAGAGACAAAGAGAGATGTGGCTTTGTCATCAGCTTTATCTGTCAAATGTTTTTCAAGGTAGGTTTGGTGTCGGTTGAACAAATCTCACAATTTGATTAATTTAATTGCAATTCATTCCTTTTTATTTTTGCTAATTTCATTTTTTTACCATGATTTTTTTTCTTTATTYTGTTTTGTCTTTTGGTTGGAGGGATTTTAATTTGTACTATAGGCTAAGAAGTTTAGATTTGAATTTAGCTGCCCAATGGAATTATGATCCTGTTGTCTTTGTTTTCTATAATTAGGTTGAGAGTTGGATTATTTATTTTAGTTGGATTTTAATAAATGGAAATAGGGGTATGATGGGAAAATAGGGATGTTTATCATAGGTTGCTTTGGATTCAATTCAATTGTTTGAAGTTTTAAATTTGTTTATAGTTAATGAAGCTTCTATTATGAGTACATTTCTCAAATAATTTCACACCTACATTAAGCAAAAAACAATTAATTGGTAAGGTCAAATAAACTCATCAAAACCGTTTATCTTGTATAGCTGTTAGTTAGAATGAGCGTAGTCAACTAAATAAAAGAAGATAATACTTATCTGTCTTATAGGATGAGCACACCAAACCTAGTAAATTAAGTGAGATGACTAATTTTAGGTGTAGTATTGTTAGCGGTTCGAGTTAAGAGTTTAAAGTGTGTTTGGGAGTGATAGTAGAAAAAGTGATTTTGAAAAGAAAAAAAAAATTTTAAATAGTTGATTTTCCAAAATCAGCGTTGATACCTTAAAATTCAATTTTAAGTGATTTTATGTCTTCCTAAAATCAATTTTTTAATATGACAAGCAGAAATGAAGCATCTTTAGTGGTCATTCCKAAATCAATGGTAGTAAAAATAAAAATAATAAAATTATAATAAGACCCATAAAAAACTCTAATATTTCATTATTCTATACCACRTCTCTAGACTTAGCTACCATAGATTTAGCTCGCCAAACATTTTCTTTTTACCCATAATCTAACAAGTTTGACTTTACTAAACATTTTCTTTTTATATGCATAATCTAACTAGCTTGATGTTATTATCTACCATCTCTATATCATGCAAGTATATTGAATGAAATAGATTTTATTTCCTCATTAAATTCATTTTTGAAAATGGTACAAATTACAGTTTTAGTCGAAGATGTAGCTTGAATTCTTCCATCGTCTTCCTACCATATATTTTTACATATATCTCTCTGTTTTTTTTCACTTGAGAATCCAACTACCATAACTATACTTACTCAAGACAAATAAAAATGAAATATAATAATTGAATTCCAATTTACAACTTACAAGCCAAATAAAAATGAAATATACAATCAAAATCCTTTCCCCCTCCATTCATTTTCCCTTTTTTTTCCCTCTCTTGAGAAGAAATGAGATAATTCGACTCAAGATTCCACTCCCAATTTCCCTTCCTACAAGCCCAACTCCAACCCACCCATTAGAATAACAATCAAGGCCGGTTTCTGAAACTCCAAACTCCTGTCCAAATTTTCCCGGAAAATCCCTCCCAAAATTTCCCTCACTTTCTCGGCTAGAAACTGCAAGGCTCTTCCGCAAAACCCAGCCTCGATTCCTTCAAATCATAAACAACCCTCCGATTCTTCTGCTGATAATTCCCAATTATCCCAATCTCATCTTCATCCGCCAGACTCGCAAACGCCAAACAGATCTGAGAACCGTCGGATTTCGCAAAGTAGAAACTGCCTTCCGCATCCACCGTCAGTTCTGCATCTCCCTCGAAATGAAATCTGATGGTCGGAACCTTCACATCTTGGAACCCGCTGAGATTGAAGCAGGTGTTCAAGATCGAATATCCCGGCGCCGTTGGGAACCCGGAAAATTGCTTCTCGAACTCCGTTTTCAAAGCTCTGTAAATCATTGGAGACAACCTGGAAATCACAGTCCCGGAATCGATTATACACATATCCCGTTTAGAACCGAATCGCGGCACATCCAATTTCACCCCACCAACGCTAATTCCAGTCACATTCAAGAAATAAAACCCCGAAATCTCCGGGAGGTGGATCATCCTGGTGTAAGAAATCGGAGAAACGTTTCTAAAACTCGAGAAATCTCCAGTCCCCATTGTTAAAGAACCCGTACCTCCGGCGTCAATAGAAGGCAAACAGTAAGAAAAAACCTGCCCAAAAACAGAGGAAGTTTGATAAACGATGGATAATTCACTTCTGGACAAACCCATAAGCCCCGAGGTTCCGCCGAACAAGCCCTTGTTATCCCGGCCGCACCCGAAAATGAAATCGTCGATCACGTTGTTCCCCAGATTCAGCGTCTCGAATCCGAGCTCCCCACGGGAATAAGATCCATCGCCGTAGGAGGCGGCGTAGGTGCAGGAACTGGAATTCCGATTCCGGCAGGCGGCGGTGTTTCCGGTGTCGAATTGAAGGGCGGAGCAGGCGGTGGAATTGCAGGGGAGAGGGCGATAAGAAGGGGAAGAGGAGGGATCGAAGAGGGGATCCTGTTGGGCGTAGCAGAGGCGGCAGGGGCGGCACTGGACCCAGGTGAGGTCGCTGCCGGTGTCGACGACGAGGGTGAGATTCCGGCCGCCAATGGCGACGGTGACGATGTAGTTGAGGGTTTGGAGGCGGGCGCCGGAGGTTAAGGGGATTTGGGAATCGGAGGAGAGTGGGTTTAGGGTTTGGGTTTCGCCGGAAAGAATGGAGGATTTGAATCGGGATTGGAGGGATTTGACGCGAATGACGTCTAGGGTTAGGCGCGTGTGGAGAGTCTTGTCCCAGTCCGTTACTTTGTTTGAGCAGTAGTCCCTTTGATGCATTTGCAAACTCGTTGCCCCTTTCTCCACCCCTGAAACCAAACACCACAAATTATCGAGTATTCAATTTGTATCCACGTATTTTCACGTGGGTTAGAATTAACATTTTTCAAAGTATGGCAAAAAAATTATAAAAATGTAAAAAATATCAATAAAATATCATCTAAAATTCTTAATTAATCTACCAGAATGGTTCGCAGTTCAAAGTTCAAATAGATTGAACGTAATATTAATATTAGTAAATTTAACTTATTTAGAAGGATTTATTTATTACTTCTATACCTAAAATATATATATTTGTTTAGTATCAACAAACATATATGATAATACTTAAACTAGTCAGTAATATAGAAAAATTAAAGAGGCTTCTCCTTGCATCCCTCTCTTTTAACTCACTATGAAAAATATGTTCACTACCCACCCGTATTCAAGGAATATAAATTTTTTTAAATAACATTGAATTGTCAAATATTTAGTGATAATTGTTGAGGAGGAAAGTATTCTTCGTTATTTAAATCAAAATTAAACTTTGATTCTACTCATTTATTCAATATGATATTATACTAGGCAGACTACTAAGATAGCATCTGTTTGTCCATTTAGGCACTATTAAGATTAAAAATTTTCATATGGCATTTTTAATAAAATTTCATTTGCTTGTTGGTTAAAAAAAGAATGAAGATCTAAAGAGCACGAAAAAGGTGCCACCATTAGTAAAATATACTTTTGATTTAGATGTTCAAGATTAATATTTATTTGATCATAAAGTTTTATTTCTATTCTCAAATAGCAAAGAATGAAGAGCTCAAAGAGCGAGTTGTACTACAAGATCCAACCAACCAAAAATCGATACACACCCAACTAGGTTTCGACAAACCAAGTGTCTTCGATCGACTAAGTTTGAAAAATATTTAAATGATCTCTAAACTTATTTGAGTGTTAGTTGACTAAAGTTAGAATAGTGCGAGGGTTAAAGTGTTGACAGTATTACGATGATTTAGCAAGATTTATTAATTTAATAATATATATATATATTTTATGATTGGACATCTCTAGTTCTCCAATGAAACAGGCCACCGTTCGCCGGCTGCCGTCTCCTCCTCGCTAGTCGTCACTGCCACCCCCGCCACCGTCTCCTCATCCCTTCCTCCGGCCGATGAACGAGGAAAAAAGCTCTGGAAAACGAGGATCGAATCCATGTTCCAAATCGCGTTGATCCGCTTTCCACCTCAAACTGTGTGCCCCAAAATTTCTAAAATCAATCACTCTCCCACAAGAACACTAATCGGCGGAGTGTTTGAAAGGGGGCAGGGGAGGGGAACGAAAAAGTTCGATTACTTTTGGTGAATTTCTCACTACGAATAAGCTCGATTTTGAATTCGTTTGATTTGATCGATCCACTTCTCTTTGCAGATTCCCAATCTTCTTGAGTAGTTCTTTCATGTACTCAATTGCATCCACCAGAATCCTAGTTCTTTCTCGATTTCATCGTTCAAGCACTTCCCCATTCTCTCGGCCATGAATTTCTTTGATTGCTAGCCCTGCAATTTCTTAGCTCTGTTTTTCTTCTGTTCGAGGGAGCATGTTTTGAAAACAGGGATTCGATCAGGATTTGGAACGAGGACGATCCTCGTTCTTTATTCACTAAGGAAGCGGCAGCGCCGATGACGACTGGCGAGGAGGGTCAGCGGCCGACAGCCGGTGGCCAGTTTCACCGGAGGAGAGGAGAAAGGGAGAAGGAGATTCTTGCAAAGGAGGAAAAAAAAGAAAGAAAGGAGGGAGAAGTCCAATCGGAAGAAATATTGTTAAATTAATAAATCTGGTCAAATCAACCTAATAATTCACGTCAAGAAATTAAATATTTTGTAACTATTTTGATTGATGGAAATATTCTCAAAATTGTATAAAAATTTTGAAAACAATCCAAACAAGTTTATTGTTTTTTATTTCCGTTTCCATTTTATTACAAAAATATATATATAATATACATATATATTATTTGATTATTATGAGATCATGCAATTCTATTTTTTAATTAAAAATGAAACTAAATAAATGAGAAACAGACTAATCTTTAAGAGACAAGAGTATCTATGGTTTGTTTTAAAATTTTAAAATCAGATACACATTAACCTTAAATTAGACACCAAAAATTTATTTTACCTTAAATTTTAATCCCTTTATGAAAAATTAGATAACTCAAGCGGATGTAACTTTCACCCCGTTGAATTTGGATCAATTCACAAATTTTTCTGACAAAAAAAAATCACAAAATTTTCTATTTTCTAATTTCCAACTTTTAAAATTATAGTCATTTTAGATTGTTTTAATCGCCAAAAATTCCTACAAAGTAATTTCTTCAAGAATAATAGTGTTAGTAGAATATCATTATTTTACTGATTTCTTCATCATATTCCTTATTTAAATAAATAAAATAAAATAAAGAAACATGAATCAATCCAACTCAAATATATTAACAATGTAATTTATCAATTGCATAACAAAAATATATATAATTTTATAGCCAATCCGATCATAAGATTAAGATACAAAATAACCTTGATAAAGTTATCAATTCAAAAGACATTTTTTTATACTTGGATACGAAATCAACAATTAGAGAGAAAAACAAAAGGATCTATTAATTGGTTCATGTAGTTTCCAAAGGGAAAAAAAACGAAAAAACAGGTTGATTTTCTAAACAGCAAAAGAGAGAGAGAAGGCCACATAAAAATGACATTGTTTTTGGCTCATTGACCTAAAAGAGAGAACAAATTACTCTTCAAGGAGAGAGCCAAAATATATGAGATTCACATCACCCAAAAGCCCCCAAAAAGATTGGCTTCACTAGAAATAATTAAATAAACCCCATTTAATTTTAAAAAAGAACAAATAATTAATGCTGAGGGTTCATCTTTTTAAATCACAAAAAAAAAAAAGGCAAATCCCCTAGATCCTAGCAAAAGCAAAAGCAAAAGGCTAGCAACATTCAACACAAACAGATCCCAAAATTCCATCGACATTACTAAAGTTTCATTGTTGAAGAGAGTTTTTAGAACACTCACTTGGCTTCTGAAAAATGCAATTAACTTTCTGCTCCCTCTTCCATGGAAGCTTCTGGAGGTCAAGAACACCCTTCTCAAATCCTCCATTGATGGCGCCATCGAGCGAGCTCGAGCGAGCCGTGACGGAAAAGAGAAGAAGAAGAAGAAAAGAGAAATACAGAAACTTTTCCCTGTCCATGTATGAGAAAAGTTTTTGAGATAAGAGAAAAGAGAGGATGAAGAAAGGAGATGGAAAAGGGGAAGGGGAATGGAGGGAAAGAGATTCTGAGGAGTTGGAGTTTAGCATGGGAACAAAAGATAGAGGGCTGGCTGGGTTTGTGGCCCCCACTTTTGTGCATGATAAATTATTGGCCTTTCACGTGCACATATATACCAACTTTGGAATAAACTAAAGGATTAAATTACAAACAAAAAAAACTCCCTATCTTTTCGAAAGTTTCAAAAGATATCATTTTAGTAAACATCGGATAATATTTTGAATGAAGAGGCGACGAGTAAGAACTCGAAACGATGTGATAATTAATGGAAACTTGGATGGAACAACGTTTAATAATGGTAAAAAATCAGCAGAGGTCAAATTTGTTGGAGTGTCAATTAATTTATTCTAGATTCTCTTAATTGTCACGTGGTTCTAAATTGTTCAAAATATTAACATGTGTTTGTATAAATGATATTTTTCGAAACATGTTTATGAAAAGGTCAATGGTAATATTGAAAATTTTGAAAGAATTAAGAGTATTTTTGAAACAATAAAGTGTAAAATTTATAATTTAGCTTAAACTAGAAATAATCATGTTAAGGTAACGCCAGATCTCTAAAAATAGTAGCAGTTGAAGTTTGAATGGTTTTAATTTTGGCTATGAATGGTCTCCAAAGTAACTGTTGAAATTCTTATTTTTACTCTTATTTATGAAAAAATCTTAATTAAATGTCTTTTTATGTTGATAGGAAGATGGTGTCATTAACTTTTTTTTGTTTCATTATATATAACAGAAATTATATATCTTCTCGAATGTGAATTTGATCCACATTTCTACGTGTTGTAATACAAAAACAGGAATTATGATCATCAATGAATGACAAATTTTAAAGATTAAAGATGAAAATAAAAATTATCCATTTGGTAATTTAGGTTTTAATTTTCACTAAAACATTTAATAATAATTGAAATATTGTTCTTATTTAATTATTTAAGATAGTTTAATTTGTACTCATCCACTTGTTATTATATCGTATACACTCTCTACTTGTAAATTAATCTCAATTTGATTTTTTAAAATTCTAGTTAACGTTAATCGAAAAAGATCTTTTATAATCTTAAATATAATACAAGATCCATCGATAGAGATTAATTTAGGTTCGTGAGAGATGATACTACATTGCATCAATTTTTATAGAAAATTACTTTAGTTTGATGCTGTGTTAATCTAATTATTACCCCCTTGTATAAATAACTTAATCAAATTGCACTCATCTCAATAAAATGGAAATATAATGTTAATTAAAAAAAAATCTCAAGATTAATGAATATATAATGACCCTATAGTTTATGCTATTTAATAATGTAAATTATGACAATTTAGAAGTGAAACGTGGTCATTTTCAAGTCGAGGCAAGATGAGGTTCGTTCATATCCAGTGAAAGTCTAGCTTGATATCAACTTGATATACGGATGTTATCAACATAAAATTTGCTAATAGTTAGATACAAATCTTCTGAAAAGGTAAAGTAATACTTCTCAAGACCTCTCTATAAAAAACGGATATTCATTCCCAACACAAGTAGTCAACATCGGAAGCCAAATTTAGATTTGGCTTGTCATCCCCTCGAACTAAGTACTAACTTAAATTTAAGAATATACGTGATTGAGTACTACGATTGGTGCAACGTTTCATTTATAAATATACTTCAATCCAAATTATTGGTCAGCATCTCGTCCACAACTTTCCCTCCAATAAACGACATAATTTGAACATATAACCCGTGGTAATTGAGATATATACTCAAATTTAACCATCCACCCCTATTTTTTATATTAAAAAAATGCTAACATGGTTAAACATTTATAAACTTAATTAACATATTTTTCTAATYTGTAAGTATCTTATATTGGAGATTTATTTATTTAGGTCTCAGAGGCGGAGAAATCCAAAGCTTACATCACAGATTCACACCCAATGTACAGACCAGTGACCAGAAATCGGATAAGAGAGAAGAAAATCTCTATGTTTCTGGACGGTCTAGATTCATTTCATTTTCCTTTTTCTTTCTTCTTTTCTTTTCTTAATTTCAAAAATATTATTTGTAGTTTTAGGATGTGTTTGATTAGCTGAACCAATAGAAATTTAAAAATGATGGATTAAAAAATAGAGTTGTATTCTAAATTTTTATATTTTTAGATAAGTATTTAATAGTAGATTTGAAAATGGAATATCAATTTAAAAATGGTTAAAAAAATATTTAATAACATACTTGTAAACTAATTGGCAGTTATCAATTATTCTTTAAAATGTTATTAACTCATTTATTAATATGTTATAAATTTTGTATGATATCAAATAGTATATTTATACTATTTTTAATATAATTCTACGGTCTTAAAATTTTAAATTCAAAATTCAGAAGGTTGAAAATAATAAAAATATTATTTTTGGAATCTTTACCATTTGGATCAAATAATCCAAAAATAGATTTCGCAAATAAATCTGTAACGCATATCCATACTTAAAAACTTCTTGAAAGAAATTTGAAAGTAAGTAAATAAATATTCGATAATAGTTTCCATGTGATTTCATCACGTCACATGGACTGATTTTATATCGTTGAATGCCCCTCATAGTGGCAGCGAGTATAGGATGAGTAATACTTGCCACGTGGACAGAAGGATGCTTACGTGTTAAAATCTGTGACACATGTCGAGACACGTGGGAAAGAGAAGTTATCCACGGAGGAGAAAAAGTCTTTCAAGAATGGCAGGCCCGTCGTGTATCGGAAAATTTGAGCACAGTTAAGGATAACGTCAACGCGGCTCGCCGCTAAACGACGGGAGACAGTTGTTGTGCACTTCTTCATAAACGGCGTCAAAGTTCGCTGCTGGCCGTTTGTCCCGCAACACGTGGTGTGCACGTGGGGTTGCCTGGAACAACAACCGGGTATCGTGTTCTATTTCTAGTAAATTTCTACTAAAGAATTCCGATCTAGTGTGTCATTTTTGTCCAAATCCCATGAACTAATACATTAATTCATTTACAAACTATCAAACTCAAATCAGCTACTATTTTTATTATAATTTTAGTTGGTTTAATTTTGAATTTGTAATTTTCATCTTGTTAAATAAAATTATGGACTCATATTAGCCACTTTTCTTTTCTTTTTAGCCCAATTTTAATACCCTGCTGAAGACAAAGAAAAATGAAATATAATAATTAGATTCAAATTTACAACTTACAAATAAAAGTGAAATATAACAATTAAAGCCCAGCTTCCGAAACTCCGAACTCCCGTAAAAAAAATTTCCGGGAAAATCCGTTCCAAATTTTCCTTCACTTTCCCGCCTAGAAACTGCAAGGCTCAATCGCAAAACCCATCCTCGATCCCTTCAAATCATAAACAACCCTCTGATTGATGGTCAGATAATTCCCAAGTATCCCAATCTCCTCCTCATCATTCAGACTCGTCATCGCCAAACACATCTGCGAAGAATCAGATCTCACGGAGTAGAAAACCCCTTCCTTCTCCACCGTCAGATTCGCATTCCCCTCGAAATGAAATTGGATGGTCGGAATCGTCACGTTCTTGAACCCGGAGAAGTTGTAGCAGGTGTCCAAGATCTCGAGCATCGGCGCCCTGGGAAACCCAGCCAATTGCTTCTCGAACTCCGCTTTCAAAGCCTTGTAAATCATCGGCGGCAACCGCGTAATCACAGTCCCGGAATCGATGAAACTCATGTCCCGCTGAGAGCCGAATCGCGGCACATCCAATTTCACCCCACCGACGCTAATTCCAGTCACATTCAAGAAATAATACCCCGCAAAACCCTGGAGGTAGATCATTCTGGTGTAAGAAATCGGAGTAACGTT